AACTACAGTTCTTATTTATGAGCTTTCGAATAGGGCTTCATTGATGTTTTTTTGGGAAAGATCTTGCGAAGAGTTTATATATAACATCGAGATTAAAATTTAATGCATGCAAATATATTATAAGATACTTTTAAAACATTTCCTTTTTGAAATTAAAAAATTAGGTTTATTAAGAGTTTTATTTTAATCATTAAGAAAACACGTTTTTTCATCAGAAAAATCGGAAGAGCCATACCTTAACACTGATCTATACTCTATTGAAATTGTGTAAACGGTGTTTGTCACATTTAAGGGGTAATACCAGATCGATTAGATTTTATTCTTGAGTAATTGAAGAATTCAATTTTTTTTTTCTGTTTTCTTTTCATATAATAAGAGGTCTTGTTTTAATAAGAATAAATTTCAGATAAAATATCAAAATAAAACAAAAACTTTCTATTTAAAAAACTAATAAGCTAAAATTCATTTTAAGAATTAGTAGGAATTCTGATTTTGCTAACTTGTCTAGTTACAACTTCTAATCAAAACGAACTTAGTTTATTATAAACACAGCTCTTTCAGAATACCTTACCCGAGGTTTATGACTTATTTGATTTCACAATATATTAATAATAATATTATATTATATCATATATTAATAATATTAATATATGATATTAATAGTATTAATTATTCTACTGTTTATAGATTTTTATGATCAGTTTTATTATTATTTATTAAAAAAGTATACGTGAAAATGTCCCAACAGCCGGTACTGCAGCCAGAAGAGACCTATTATACCAGAAATCAGTTACTTGTACAACCCTTTCTTGTACAACTTGTTCAAATAGATTTCATTATGATCACAGTGTTGCAAGATAACACATAATATTAACTCATATGAGTAAAGGAGCTAGCTTTACATTTTGACATAAAGATCAGTTCAATATATAGAGAGCTACGTTAGGTCTCTATATTATAAAATAGTTAGTATAAAAATGTGAAGAAGTAAAAGAAAAATATTTTTTTTTGATGTTATCGAAAATAATATCGGCATCAATTAGTATTATCGAATGATGGCAATACTATTGACCAGCTAATACTTAAGAATTCAGTACACATCAAATAAACATCTTGCTCAGACACTGAAGACCATAATGTTTTAATCTATCCACAGAGCGTAAACTACCTACTCTCTTTGTAGATAAGAGTAAACTCTTTGTTCACGAGCAAAATCTTTTCGATAGAGAAGAATATTTTTATTATAGGTCAGGTTAAGTTGAGAGGACGCTGACTGATATAAGTTTCTGCACTTCTACCCGAAGTGTGGAAGTGTGGATCTCATTGTGATGCTACCAAAATTGCTGTTTAATAAATTTTCTTTAACAGAAATAATATAAAAAAAATTATTAGTACTAGCTACTTAAATTTTTTATATAAAATTTTGAAATTGATTGAAACTTATAATTGATTATATTAAAGCAAATATCTTGACTCCAAATAAATTAATTAAGAGTAAAAAAATCTGTAACAAATTAAAATAAAATATTTTTAATATAACAACAAACATTTGACAAATTTAAACCTAAATTATATTATTTGTACGTGAATATCGCCTTTAAGCTACTATATACGGTTTGTAAAATTAAATATAAATCATACATCTAGTTTATTTATATGTAACTACTTATTTTATACATTTTATATATAACATATTGTTTAGTTTTTGTATAAAATTTGACTTTCACATGTACAAGTTATTTTTACTGTACAATGATTTTGTTTTAATTTACATAATTTTTTAAAATAATTTTACTAAATATAATACTACATTTACATATACAGTTATATATGAATTTTTATGCTTATAAATGAATTTATATATATTTATATATATATGTATATATATATTGTATATATAAATTTCCTTACACATAGAATATCATCAACGGTAATAAAAACTTTTAGTTTCCTTTAAATAAGTTTTAACAAAAATTTAGAAACAAAAATTTGTTTATTACATATATAAAATTTTTTAATTTTAACAGCAAAAAATATATTTTAAATATATATATAGACTACAACAACAATTAGTTACTATATTGATATATTAATAATATGAACTTTTTATAGTTTAATTTTCTCATATGAAATATTTTTGATTATTGCATATTTTGAAAATAAAAATATACAACAAAAATAACGCTTTTAATAATATTTTTATATGTTCGTTATTTAATTATAATTATTTGAATTTATTTTAATTAAGCATTATTTATTCAAAATTTTTACGGAGTTTATAAAAATTTTGCATAAATAATGCAGAAGCTATTTTGAAGTGAATATTTGCTTGTTGCTTATATTTATATATAAGTTTATTTTTTTTTACTATTGTGCTTTAAAATTAATAATTATAACATTTAAATAATTGCTCAACTCCCCATCAAACACTTTACATATTATATTACACAACATTCATATATATTATTAAAAAAACAACAAATTATGTTTAGTACACATTTTCTATATATAATTTTTATATATTAATAACAACACTATATAATTTTTATTAATGATTAGTTTTTCATTTTGATATTTATGTTTTAACATTTATTTAATTTGAAAATATATTTTTATACTTTATAAACAATAAAATTTACTATTTTATTTAGTTTGAATGAATTTATTATATATACATATAATTATATATATGAGGGTTTTTGTTCATATATATATATTTTAATAAACTGATCGTGAATGATATTTTTATTTTGTAACTTTAGTTGATTCTTAATTTGCTCTCTTCGTTTATATTCTTCGCTTCAACAACTTATACAATTATATTATATTGATATATATATATATATATATATATATGCGTATTTATTTTCTTCACATCTATATATAATAGTTTAAATAACTAAAAAATTTTCGTTTTTCTTAAGAATCAATGCAATCACCTTGTGGGCATTAAGTTAGTCAAAGAGGATTAGAGGCAATACATAAAACGGAACTCTCTTATGTCTTTATCATGCAACCCAATTATTCTTCAGAAAATTATCGTAAGATAATTTGATATATGTATAACTAAAAAATTTTTTTTTGGGGACATTGAACGATTAATAAGAGATTCTGTAATCCCTATTGGATTTTATAACGGGAACAAAAAACTTAATTTTTGTTATTGGTTTAAAGTAATTATGCAACATTATTTCTACAGACAACAGAGTTTGAGTAGATAAGTAAGAAGGTGGCACCTTGATGTGGTGCAGAGGCCCATTAGTTACGTAGAACACTCGAGCGATGCCGGCGGAAGCATGCTACTGGTAGGGTCTCCTTGTCGGTAAGGTCGAATGAGGAGTAATGAAGCTAAGCGCAGTCCGCAACTTAGCGTCGGCACTCATATTGAGCGGCTGCAAAAGGCGTCTGTTCTTCAGGTTAGGAGCGGCCTATTTAAAAGTGACCTGTTTCAACGTGCAAAGCTTACAGGATTGAGTCTTAACGCAATGGAATTACAGTCTCCAAGTGATACACGTACATATACGGCGAATCCACCTACTTCGGCAGTACGCACAACCGATTTGGAGGTGCGAAACACATGTTTGAACAGAATCTCTTCGTTAGGTACAACTATAGCTATTACGGCCCAGATTTTTATCAAACAAAAATTGATAACAACCTAAGTAAGAATAACATAAATCGAATGTATATTGAGTTTGTCTATGGTTCAAAATTGAAAGGGTTCTATTTTTGACAATACCAGTTTCATAAAATTACATGCAGATAATTGAACCAATAGTAGATTTCAAAAACTACTGGTAATGGATATATGGCTTTATCGGGAATAGCTGTACGGTCAGCTTGAGAATCAACTTAAGTAGAAATTAAATTTTTGAATTAAAAATTTCCTCATTTTTTTCCAAATAGACTATTAGTTTTTGAATATATAAGTTTTAGTTATTTTTTAATAATAAAATATTTGAGGGAAGATAGGTGAGGTTAGGGAGCACGGAACTATTTTTATTTTTCTGTTTCAAATAAAATCAACCTAAATAGGCCGTGCCAAGGTTTAGTGATTTCGGATACTAGTTATGATGGAGCCAGATGCTAACTCGACTTAGATTTGTAAGTGCAATGTTGCAATTAAACACAACACCATCAATTATAAAAGACTTGCGAGTTGGACATAGATCCACGATAGTACAGTTTGTTTAGAAGTATAGATCTTGCTGCCTTTCGCAGTGACTTCAATTCCTCCACAATGGTAGATGGAAGTTTGGTGAGAGTTGTAGTTTGGCATCAAACAAGTTTTTTGTGCTCTTAATAGATTGGATTTGTTGAAAAAATTAGAAACATATACATATGTTTTAAATTGGAGTTCTATGCTTTGAGTTTACGTTGTATTCATAAGGATTACACTCATGGGTCTTAAACATACGAACTCAGAAAGAAATACCATCTTATATGATTTATTTAGGAAATTCGGAATTGAGCTAAATATGTAATGTTATACACTGAACAATTTATCTAAAAGTCATAAATGAGATTTTTATATAAGGTTAGAATATATTTCATATTATTTTCTATGTCTGTCTATTTTTAGTAATTGAGATTTAAGGTTCACTGATTTCCGAAATATGTAATGACCTCTTTTATCTTTTCTTTGCATCTATAGGCGTCTTAGTAAATTTATAGATTTGTTTATTTTTCTTCTTCATCCATCAATGTTTAACATAGATTTAATTTTTTTTGTTTGGATTTCTGTATTGATTCATTGATCTTATGTTTTTACAATGTTTCATCTGTTTCAAAACTTGTCTGTTATAAGTGGACTTTGAGAGCGATTGATATCTTTTCTGGTTTATATATCTTGATTGTGTTAAGTTTTCTTTTTTTAAAGCGAATTTTCTTACTGATTTGTATATTTTTTAAAATTATTTAATTAATTATATTTAATTTTTAAAAATTTTATATATGTCACTAGTTTTTAATGCATTTGATTATTTGCTTTTGATATTTCTTCAATAACTGACGTTATTTTAAGAACTTTTGTGGAATTCGTACTTTATGTATTACAGGTCTTGAAGATATGAGACCTTTAAGGTAACTTTAACCATTACATATGGTTTTCTATTTTTTGAATAACAATTTAACCAAATGCATAATAATTATATTGTGCTTTGTTTAGCTGTTCCATTAAAGCAATCCATCGATAGCAAGGTATATCATCCTGCTACCAATTTTTTATGTCGTGTGTGTGTGGATGTGTGTATTTGTGTATATCTGACTGTTATATTCGTATCCTTAGTTATATGTATCTTAACTTTTTTAATTTTACTGGTTTTGTTCCTCATGTGTGGACGATGGCATTGTCATCATCGGCGTTGTTGCTGTTAATGGTTATTGTTGTTGTTGCTGTTGTTGTTGATATTGTTGTTGGTGTTGTTGTGAATAATCGTAGGCATAACTATCATTAACCATTTCCGGTTGTATACTTTCTTCGGCGATTGTTGTTGTTGTCAATGCAAAAGGATTATTGGCCACGTGTCCTGTCGCGCCATAATTAATGGCATTTGATTGTTGCATTTGACTTTGCTCAGTGTACTGAGGTTCACCCTTTCGTTTTTGTTACAATCAAAAAAAGAAACAGGAAATAAAATAAAATTATTTTTATAAAAATAATATATAATGTTTGGCTTCAATGGATTTCTAAAGTTTTTCCAATGACCTTTCCATATTAATGTTTATTTTATTTCTTGGTTTGGGTTTATTCTCACTAATACATATTTTGCATGTTCGTCCTTATAAAGGGCGTTAAGCTTTATTATTGGTGTCTCTATCGTCTTTACTATTACATCAGAAAATATCTAACATTACAAGATATGATATTCGACAATCCTACACCTAATCAAAAACTACGGTATGTAAATTGAGATGCAATTAAATGCATTTGTATTTGCAGTAAACAGGCTGTATAATTAAAAATATTTTAATCCGCCTGCTTTCAATGTAAATAGGAAAATATTAAAAATAAAAATATATAAATAATTAAATATGTATTTAATTAGAATTGTTTATTGCAGCCCTTGTAATTAATTATCAATTTTAAATTTCACTATTTGTTGTTGGTATTGTGAAGTGGAAATTTATTTAGGGAAAAAGCTTTTTAATTTATAATTAAATATAATTAAGTTATTAACTGAAATACTTGTCCATAGTATTCCGCAAAGAATTTTGCATTATTATATTTTCAGAGACCTAAGAATCATATGCCAAATTGTTTTACATCCATCATTAATCACAAATCAAATATATTTTCATTCTTTTCATTGAATTATTTCTCCACCTTGTACTTTTTCAAATAAATGAACATTTATTCTTTTCAAAACTGCTGTCTTCACATGTACACAGGAAACTATTGAGACACCTTGTTTTTTGAACTCAACTCATTAGAGTAAACAACTTTTTAAGTCCAGATATTTTTTTAAAATAAATTTTAAGTTCTTCTTTTATCCTTTCTTTACTTACAAAAGCAGTTTCCTTCATGTAACCAATTTGATTGCCAGTGTCCTCATTTATAGCCGCAGCAGGTGGTGACCACACGTGTTTTTCTTCTTGCGGTGGTTCCGCCCAAGGCTGTAACTCACCTGAGGCAAATATACCATAGAAAGTGCAGCCAATCAAATGCACACAAGCTGCTAATGTGAAGACGGTAGTCCAACAACCATGAGGCTATAAGATATAATTTCAAAACATTACTTTATAGACCTCTACTTTCATTTTTGCTTCATTACTTACATCTTTTTGTATAAGTCCATCCAAAGCATACGGTACAATTATACCCGCTAATGTGCCAATACCATTCGAAAGACCCATAAGTATACTAGCATAACGTGGTGCTATGTCCAGATGATTGACATTGTATCCAGAAATGGCAAAACCGCTAAATGCTACACCACAAGTCAAAGCAGCCATAGCTCCAGTCTATTCCATTGTACATATTGTATTTAAATCATTTTTGCTTTCGTTATTATCAAAAAGCACTTACCGATGTGTCTGCGTGTGCAACAAATAGAAAGAAGAGGCCTTCCATACCAAAACCACCGCAGTTAAATAATTTGCGTACATTGGTGGTAGACATAATGCCATTCTTACGTAAATGATCGGCCAACATACCGCCGAAAGGTACAATAGTTGTCATTATTAAATGTGGTAATGATCCAACAAATCCAGCCTCTTCAACTTTAAATCCAAATTTGTGTTTCAAAAATGAGGACTGAAATAAAACAAGCAAATAAAAGTTCCAGGAACGACAAAAATTGGCAACGATAATCGCGTAGACGGGCATGGAACGCATCATTTCACGCCAAGGCGTAGTCGTTAGCGAGGGCATAGACGGTTGTACTGATGTTTCGCCAAGTGATTTTTCAATATACTTGAGTTCAGGTACACTGATAGCAGGATGCTTGCGCGGATTCTCAAAGCAAAGCCAAAGCCAAAACATATACCTGAGAAACAGGATATAGAACAATTATGATATGAACCTAAAATATTTTCCGTCACAGTAATTCGCACTAACCATGTAATGCCAAATATGCCATAGGCGTAGAATGGTGCCTGATATCCTATGGCATCAGCCAATAGACCAGACAACGGCAAACCAACCACAACGCCCGCATAAGAACCGCTGAATGCCAAAGTAGCAAGTCGTGACCGCTCCATGGGTGGTGCCCAAAAACGCCAGATACCATGACAGGCAGGATACGTGACACCCTATAAATGAACACAACAAACACAACATGCACATCAATCAAAAGTATAAAAAGTACTAAACCGATGAATTGATATACAAAACTAAATAGAAGAATATATAATAAAATTAAAGGAAATACACAAGGCAAAAAGATTGGAATGGAATAAGGATCTTAAGAAAATTTCTTTGTTATATTGTAATAATTTTTGGCAAAGGAAATGTGAAAATTCAAAAAGGATTTTGAATGAATTTAATAATATTTCATTTGTTTTGTTATGGCTATAGGAGGGTGCAGACTGCTGAACTTTAACAAAACCAAAGACTTACAACCCCAACACCATCGTAAGATGCATACACACTGCCACATACTAAATCAAGATTAAAGATGTTTTCATATACGTGCAAGCAGATTACAACATGTTTTCATTTTGCAACAAAACACTTAAGGATAATGCCTATTGCAAATCTTATCAATGCTCAGATATCCTCGTACATACGTTACCCTGCCTCGCTACTCTTCGATTACATCTTTATTATAGTTTTCACCATGTACGTGGCAATACGAGTATGATGTGATTTAAATGAAATCAAATGACACGCATGACTCGTCACAATAAAAAAAATAGAAAAGTATATGATAAAGTAACAAAAATAATATAAAAATGAAACGCAGAAAAAGGAGTTGTAATCCGCTACTACAAAAATATTCCAAATGGCTTTGATCCGCCTAACTAAATCGAATAGTCTCTTACACACAAGCACACGAAGGCTATATTCATATAAGTACTTCGACAGATTTGAAGGAAATAATCTCACCTTGTGATTGTTATTTCGTATACTCACCTCGAAGAGTCCTTGCAGTACTCGCACGCAAATTACGACATGTCCATGCATCAGGGTCATTGCAAATGGCACGAAGAGATGCAGTGATGCTGAGCTGACAATTGACAAACCGAAAATTTTATTAGCTGGGAACTTGGATGCAATAAAACCGCCTGGAATTTGCGTTATCAAATAACCCCAGAAAAAGCTGCTGTCCACATGACTCTCTACTGCAACGGTCCAGTTCATGAAAACAGTCTGGAAAAAATTAAGAAGAAGAAATTGAGATTGATTTCATAATAGAATGCATTAGAGCTAGAGCGCCGTTAGAAGCAATAAAAGCCATTTTATTGTTGAAGACTTTACGACTGCTGAGAGGTTGTTAATTTATAACAGAGAAATAATTGAGAATATTCTAATAATGTACTTCTTACAAAAATTCACAATCCTACAATGAATAACACATTTCTCCCAAATGTTAATGCTATTTGATAAATGATATATCATATATTGGATAGTCCTTCAATTAGTTAAAAATAGTAAGATTTTGTTGTTATAATTCACTATTGCTCGAAAAACCTTTCTATTGAAAACAATAGTTTACATTAAAAAACAGTCTCTTTCGTCTTTTGCCTTTCGTTTGATAAAGTCCTTAGACGAAAACTCTATCAAAATAGATGAATCATGAAACTGAAACATGGTCAGCGAAATAAATAATACATGCATACTGATTTTAAGCTCTTACATTTAAATCTGTATCTACATTGCTGTGTTAGATATAGCTATATGTATCTATCAAACATCTGATTTTATAAATGCGTATCTTCTTGATGTGTTTGCATAATGAAATATAAATTCTTTAGAAGAGGGTTTGGTATTGTCTTTCAAACGCGATGTAATGAAGCACTACAGATGCAATGAACAGATTATCTAGTCATCAATACTGTTGATCTAACTAAAATGTTTATGTAGTGCTGAGTTTGGCTTTAAAGTTAAGCCACGAAATAGTTCCACTCTATGTAGCTTCAACAAAAGATTCAACGAAGATTATGAGTCCAAATAATATGTGTTCTGGATTGCTTAAGTATCAACGATTTTAATGCCTTCATAAACTTAACTCTTTTATATTAAGTAAGATAGCATGTGAATTGACTCTGAAAAATTAGAATCATAAATAAGCTAATGATACTTATTTTTTCACCAGTACTATTATTCAATGCCAGTACTACCAGTGTTAGAATTTCAGAAGTCTACTTATAGAAATTCAGTAACAAACTTCTCCAAATACACATTATGTTATATAGTGGTTTCATAATATTTTTCTCCTTGCAAAAATATCGCTCGTAATTAATCAAGTCGAAATTCAGTAAAAATTTGTACTCAGCACGGACTGAATGACAAATTTTCAACAATTGTGTCTATAATTCTACAATGTGAATGATTTGCATCAGATAAAAAAATATTTGAAAATTTACGAAATTCAGTAGCTGAAAAGGAGCAAAACAGGAAGTTAGAAAATAATATCCTGTAACAAACGCCAAAAAGCTAAAAACCCCTCGAGGCATTATTAACGAGCGTGACGGAATTACACCCATCACTCCGAAATTTCGCATACTTAGAAAACATGCACAAAATATGAGTAAAAATAATCTGAAAGAGAGAGTGGAGTGGTACGGTAGTGAAAAGAATGGAAAGCGAATAAAGACGTGCTTTGTTGTTGTTACAAATACAATGAAGTACTTAAAAGTGCTTTTAAATTTTACACAATAAAAAAATTTCACACAATAGAAGGCAAACCGAGTCAGTCAAGATGAAATCCATACATGACCATACACTCCTACACTCGTGCAGAGTGCTGTGTAATGGGTGTGTACTTGCGTATGAGCGGAACGTGACTTCGGTTTCGTTAAATGACATGTTAACTGTCAGAAATTAATTGACAGAAACATTTACACTGTTGCGCGTTACTAATGAGAACAGCCCCAAAGCAGCCACCAAAGTAACCAAGCCACTGAAGTTCCTTGAACGCATTTTGAAATCATATTATCAGCAAATTAGGCAAATTTGAGCTTAACTACTATACAACCAATGTATGGATATGAGTACGGATGGGCCACCAAAGTAACCAAGCCACTGAAGTTCCTTGAACGCATTTTGAAATCATATTATCAGCAAATTAGGCAAATTTGAGCTTAACTACTATACAACCAATGTATGGATATGAGTACGGATGGGTGGACGAAATGTATGTGTTCTAAAATGTTATAATTAGGGAATATGATATACGCTTGATAGAGTTTAAATAGTCACACTTACACCATTGTGTTCGCCTTTCAGTTTGGCTGCTGACATATTGCAACGCATGCCGAAGGATATCATGAAGCCAACGCAAGCCATGACGGCAATTGTGTAACGCGCCGGCAGGCATGGACACTCGGCCTTGAAGTATTTGTCTATTTTACGTAATGGTGGACGTTCAATCTCCTCGAACGAAGCTGGAGAATCTGGTCTGTCATCGTCATATCTGTGCCCACCGCCAGGTCCATCACCGGGACGATCGCCACCTTCCATTTCTTCATAACCACCAAGACCGCCATGATAGCCTTTGGAGATTTCAAATTTTTCGAAATTTGGTTTTATGCTGAAAAAAGAAAAAATTTAATAATAATTTTATATAAATATCAATAAAACTATTCACAATTATTCAGTTTATTGACCAATAATATTTATGGAAATACTTAGAAAGTAATTATGGAAGGAAATAAAAGTCGTAAAACAGTAATAATAACAAAAGTTAACAAATGAAGTTAACAATCAAATCCAAAATATATGTTCTTCAATTTAAATGTTCTGATAGATTTTAAGTATCGAATATATATAGTAATAGCAGTAGCTTATGGCCCAATGTTCCCCTGGGAACATAATGGAATGAAGAAGAAGAATAGCAGTAGTTAACAATGTGGATAGTCTTTAGAAACAATAAAGTCTTCAGTTGTAAGCATGGACTTTATCGAGACAGACTAATGTTATGTTTCACACAAATCTACTTTTTCAGATGTGTTTATTGTGTGATAACACCCAATTGGTTTCATATATGATCTTTAAAATAATAGTAATTAATTTGAAACAGAACATCTTCAAAAGAGTAACCCCAGCAAATGATAAATTATATACAGAAGCAGTTTTTCTTTCCACAATTTAAGAATGATAATAATCTGAATTTTCTTCGAACCGCAGAAAGAAGTGATAGATTCATAAGAAATTTTTCTTAATTTTCTAGGTTGAAACGGCTGTCGAAAATTCTGTTGAAAAGCGTCCGTCTTCTAAACAGTGTAGGGTATTATTAATATTAATTTATTCGATTACTTCGGCTTCAGAGTATATAATACATATGTAAAAAAATTTTTAATATTAAACACCCAATTTTAATAATTACATTAATATATAAGATATTTTTCCAAAAAGAGTTGTGTGAGAACGTCTGTGACATTGGTGTCTCTGCATGTATATCATTTCAAACTGGCTCTTCAAACAACGAAAGCACTATTCAGATATTTTTTAGACATATAAAAAATAATTGTAAATATTCTAAAAGCTATATAAACATTAATTTAAGAAATATTATAACCTTTTATTTCTAACTTGAACAATATAATCATGATGATGATGTTACTAATGTAACATCATCACATCACCCTTTTTTACTATTAAATGCAAAAGACTTATTGTTCTTCAGAAGTAATTGTCTTCTCACAAAGTGGGAGATGTAGACGAACCTTATATCCAACAAAGCCGTACGACTGTAAAATAATCACTGTCACCACTTCCCTTTGCTGAGCGTACGAGTACATATTTGGTGGAAATAAAAGTATCGCTGCAACCGGAGCTAGGTTGTTCTGGTTATGACTGTTCGTTTGCCTTTCAGTATGTGTATGATGATATCATGCACTGACATACAGACATAGTGATAGACACACAAACAGACGAACAGACTGATGTCTTAATAATTAATAGAGCAAATAAACACAAACATTTAAATAATTATTTACTTAATAACATACAATAAAAAAATATGCACAACGCAATGATCAGTATTCGATTTTTCCAATACATTTAAGAATGAAAAAAAAAATATTTATAATGCATATCACGATAAAGGACCTTGTATCGTACCATTCCTTTATAACAAAATTTTCTATATGAGGACAGCCCTTAAGTAGCTCTCAGTATGTCTATTGCAGGGATGAGGTATGGGTAAAAATCACATTTTTTTGTGTTATATTTCTAGTATTTATATAGACTAGCTAATTCTAATTAGGTTCAAAAGTTTTGTTTCTCTGTATCATTCATACGTAAGAATAGTATAGAACAATAAGAACAATTCTTGAATCTAGCTTAAAGGTACATATAAACTAGTCGAAGTGCAACTCCAACTACACTGTAAAGCTTATATTGATGATTTAGAGTGATTAAATTAAAAAAGTCCTAATAGTGTCATTACGTATTATATGAATTCGAAAAAAGTTTAAAATTACATAATTAAAAACCTTTATGGTGAGTGCCGTCATCCACTATTTTTTTATTGGAATGATTTCATTAAACCATACTTCGCTTGCTTCTTCGTTAGGCAGGTAATGGGTCTACAACTGATTATTATCTTCTGTAGACGGTTAGCCAAAATAATCGTCTTACTTTTATAAGTTTAACAGCTCAATGATCTATTGAAATCGTAGTTGTCGTATTATATTTTTATAAGACTGAACCTTTTTCGTACTATCATTATTTTGAAGAACCATATACCTTATTCTATCTATCGCGTTACGAGTATCATACAGATTTCAATATATAGATCGAAATTAATTCGATACTTGAAACTTGCCATACCAATACGTTATTTAAATAACTTGATATGACCAAATAAAACGCTATAAGTTACTAGCATCCGTTCCTATACACCAATCTTCATGTTTTATTTTTTTGAGAGAGGTTCTAGGTATTTAAGGCTATTGGTTTCTTGAAAACTGTTTTCACCATTTGTGATATTCTCTGTAGTCTGAGCTCGTATATTTCAGATTATAACTATTTCTTTATATAAATTTGAGGTTTAATTAGATAATAAGAGACAGATTATATTCTAAACAATGCTCCCAAATAATTGTTTGAAGTCAATGAAGAGTATAAATGTGTCCTGGATAAATTCGTAAAATTCTTTTTTGTTGCAGTTGGAGGAGAATTTCTTGATAAATTGTATTTTTAAATAGTATAAAACTGCACTTATGTTATTAGAACAATTGATTTGGTATCACTAACATCACTTACTTTATAATTGTTGCAGAACTATAAAGTGATACCCTAAATGACTGTTCTATGGTGTTTCGCATGTCTTATTAAAGAAGGGCTGCCATATTTGGATTATGTTGTAGATAATCCAATATTATTGGAAATTTCAAAATTCTTTAGAATAATAAAATAGATTATGATTTAAACTACACTATTAGTTTTTGAATTAAAAAAAAAACAAAAATATACGTTTTTGAGTAGTTTTTTCTTAGTTTCTAATAAAACTACAAAATAAAGAAAATAAAAATGCATTTTTACCATTCGTTTTTATTAAAATAGCAATTATTTTTTAATTATTTCGCAGTTGTATTAACTCAACAGTGATATACTCTGTGATATTCTCAATTCAATTGAAATGAAAGTCGTTTAACCAACCATAATCATCACATTTGCAAACTTAAACTTTCTCTCGAATGATTCAGATATAAAAAACGCCAGAAAATATATTCAAGCGACCACTCTATGCATCATTAGTTAAGAGGCAGAAAGTATGTTATGCAGCACACAAGTCAATTGAATTGTTATACCTAGAAAGACCCACATAAAGTCAAATGCAGGCACATGACATCTAAGTTAGGCTACCTGTTGGATTCTACTTTCTAAACACTTCCACAGAATCAGCACAACCCATAAGGCTTCCAAAGACAAGCACACGTTTTGGCAAGGTGTTATTTGCAAGGAGTTTTTACACGGCAATAGACGTTAATCAACGTTAGTGGCAACGCAACACGATTTGGTGTTGTTTTCCTGTTGTTGTTTACTAACGAAAAAACAAAAATATAAACAAATCTCTAAGGATTTAAGGGTGCGAGTGGCGCTGACACCACGTGCAACACAGCAAAGACAAGGGGTTGATTGCGTTGGGAGTTGGAAGCTTGTGGCATTACTGCAGCATTGGAAAACAGACGTGTCCAATTGAAATAAAATTCAATTTTATTAAGTGCCGATATGACGATACGACGATATACGCCAAATTGCTCCCTTACCCTTATTCTGACAATAAACGACAATGGAGTTACATATTTTTTCATTTTTATTGCAGCAATGATTTCGTATGAAAGGAGACAGATACATTTGAATAAATTGTACAAAGAAATCAGACTGATTGCTTTACATATATTTTTCAAGGAAATTGATTTTATTAAAAATATCTTTCAGATTTTTTTTTGAATTTTGTCAATGTCATCATTTACTTTAGATATTTTGTGATGTTTATGTCGTCGCCGCAAGTTTAAGTAAACGATATGTCAAAACCAAAGGAACGCGCACTGATTGATGAAGTCCCAACTAGCTATTGGGTTAAACCAGCAAATTGGGTTAAAGTCTTCTTCTCTTTGTAATGCCTTCTCACCTTTCGACACACTTCTCTACTTAGTGTGCCAAGGAATTTTCATACCACATGGCAGCCATAGAAGTTTGATGATTCTTAAAAGGAAATGGAAAATACTCGTATTCTGCTTTTGCAAACTCGCTGTAGTCAATGCGACTCTACGTTAGTCATGACAACAACCGATTCCTTTTAAATATCAATAAAAATCAATTAAGTGAACAAAGGCCGATGTTGTCATGGAAGCTCAAATAACCAATCCCAGAAATCAATTGAAGTGCTTTGGCTTCATCAACTTTCTTTTATGTGAAACTGAACGTTTAACTCATCAGTTATTGAAAACCTAAATAAAGAAAATAATAATAATAAAAATAATTGAAGTTAAAAAGCTAGAGAAAATGAAACACGGAAACCTCAAAAAATGAATTTAAATCAATTTTCTGTTGAATTTGCTTTTTCTATTCTTAAAATTATTTTATCAATTTTATTGACAATAGTAGCTATACTCATAGTAACTGGTAATTATAAGAGATGAAATTTTAGTGCAGTTATTAGTTGCCTATGAATAGTAGTTTCTAATCGTACTTTGATAACAAACTAATCCACAAAACTGGACTCTACTAAGATTCAAAAATCCAGATGTGTTTCTCATTTTCGGATCAAGTTAACTTGAATTCCGGATGCCGTATCGATCCACAAAACTGGACTGTACTAAGGTTCAAATATACAGATGTGTTTCTCATTTTCGGATTAAGTTAACTTGAATTCCGGATGCCGTGTCGATATGAAGTTTTCAGTAACGTATTAAAATATTATCTTCTAAGATATTTCGTAAAAAAAGCAAAATTTCTTGCAACAAATATTACAAAAAGCCAAACTTATCTGTTCAGTTAACATCTAAATTACCCGCGATTGTACATATAAAACGTACCCATATTTCTATGGGGTATGTTGAACTTACCCCTTATTCCCAT